GAACTGGCGGTCAGTTTCAGCAGCGGCTGAATCTGGACGCCAGTTCCGACTTACATACAGATTCAACTTAAGAACAAACCTACAGTCCCTATCTTGTACGTAACCCGGGGACTGCCTGTACTTACAGTCCCTAAACCATGCTCACTTGAGGTCTTGCTAAAGTGTATTGGCTCAGATAGATAACCTACAGGTGTTAGTGCTATGAACAGGAGAAATACAATCCTGGAAGGAAAATCTCTCTGCTGCTTTTTCTGCTAACCCTCTGAGTATTGGTTGCACTGAAGATTCTGCAGCTTCTTTGTGGGTTCGGTCAACCCTTGTTAGTCCTGTGACCATGGATTGGGAGGTGCCTTTCCCACATGGGGCTTGATCAAAACTCTGTGGTCCTACCTTGACTTCAATTTTATATCCTCTGATTTCAGGGCTTACTAGTCCTCTGATTTCTATTGGTCACTTGCCAAGTAGCTCTTGGCTTTCAGCGGTCTCAGTTTCATTGCTGTTTCAGCCCACACCCAATTGATAGGATCCAATGTCTTTGATGCTTTTCTTTTTAGTTGTGGGGTTTGATTCATTTCTTGATTTGCATTTTGTTATTCAATTATCAATTAGATCCTCCCCTCTTAAGCAATTTCTATTAATATTCTACACTTATACCCTGGTTAGGTGATTTCTGTTCAATGGTTTCTCCCCTTCCCCCCCTTGTGCAACATTTATTTACAAAGGAAACAGAGCCCCTTGTCTAAAGCTGGTAGGCATGGTCAATATATTCTTTGAATGCTAAAACTCTTAAGTGCTCCTCTTTCGGGGTATATCCTAGGATAGGAAATAGAGGAACAAGAGAGATTGTTCACTGAGGATATGTCTACTCTACAGAGAAGAGTGAAGCTGCTGCTGTTGATCTTCCAGAGTTCAAATTAGCAGGTCTAGTGAAGATGTGCTAATTTGAACTGAGAGGGGCACTCCAGTTGATGCCAGTAGTCCCGCTTCCACGACGAATAAGGGAAGTCAAAGGGAGAGCATTCTCCTTTCGACTTCCTGCTGTGTGGACAGTGCCAAAAGTCAAGTTAAGGTACTTCAATTTCAGCTACGTAATTTAACATAGCCAAAGATTCTATCTTAATTTGACCTTATCCTATAGCATAGACATACCCAGAGATGCAGATCTCATTCAGAAGGCAAACAAATCTACGCTTGGAGTTGGGGTGCGTATATGTAATAAGGGGTGCTGCTTGAGGTTTCAGAAATTTGAGTTTTGGAACTGTCAAGTTTTTGGATCAGCAGCTGGCTATGCCTGTCTGGTATAGACCTTCATTTTGGTTTTTCCACTCCTCTGGTCCTTAATTAACATGTTGGAGATGGTTGGGTGCTTTGCACAGGTAAGGGCATAGTTTCTCTTGCCTGTAAACTAACCGCATGTCTGTGCTCTCGTGACACAGCTATGATGCTGCAGCTGCCATAGCATAGATGCTTCCCACAGCAACAGCAGAGGGTCTTTTCATCAATGCTGCTTGTGATGGGGTGCAGTCACAGAAGACCCCTTGGGATTGTTCCCCGGTGTGCTGATCATTCCAGTGACACCCACCTTCTTGCTCTCTGGGGTTCCTCACCATCCTATCCTGCTGAGCCAGATCCTCTGTCTCTCCTAGACAAGGCACTGAGTTGGGGTTTTTGCCCTTCTCAGAATAATGCAGACGCTGAACCACTTCAGCTCTGGGAGGATGCAATTCTAGGGCACAGCACTCAGGAAACCAACCCCCCCCCAAGCAGATCAAAACCCCAAATAAATCTGTCTCTCTGTGTAAAAGTTTTACACAAGGAGAGCTCATGAGGATGTTCATCCTCCTTTTCAAAGAAAGACGGATGTGCACACTGGTTGTTTACCGTCAGGCCCAGTGTAAATAATTGTTACCTGGGGCGAGGGAAACAAGTGGTTTTTATTAAGTACACACAGTAGGATTTAGGTAGTTGCAAGTGAGAACAGCCAGAACAAAGTATTTTACCAAATTAAAACAAAAAGAAAAAACAAAGCTAGTTCTACTTCACTAAGAAACTTTAAGGCAAGCAGATTCTTACCCCTAAAGAGCTGTCATTATTTTAGGCATAGTCTTCAAGTTAAAGATGATCATTTACTCTGACCTGGGTCTCCAGCCAGGGCCAGCCCACAACATTTTGGCACATGAGGTGGGGAGCTCAAATGACGCCCTATGCCCCCTCGCTTGGGCCAAAACTTTGAAAGGTCTCAATTCTGCCTTCTTCCTGTTCTACTCCTCTCATGGCACTCCACCATCTCTGTGCATCTAGAGCAGAGAGAATACATACGCACCAGCAGCAGACACAATTTTCTACACTCTGGGTCCTAGTGGTTCCCCCCCCAAGTCTGGCATCTGAGACGGCCGCCTTAGTTTGCCTCATGGTAAGGGTCTCCATCCCACTTTGGAGTGTGTCAGGCCAGCCGAAGACAAAGGGCTAATTTGCTTCCCATTGCTTAATATTCTTTTCCCCCAGGATGGGAACCTTTTGTTCTATAAGCCTTCCTCTCCCCCCCTCCCCTTCCCATTGAAAAGGGTCAAAATGAAATCCCACTACCGTGGTCATATGTCTTACTAGTGCATTCACCTTTGGACAAACACGGCTATTTACAAGTTAAGTTGTTCACCAAGTTGTTAAGGCTGGGGGAGTACCAGTAATGGCTCTCATTAGTACATTTAAAAATATAAACAGTCTCATGCTTTGTATTTCTAATTTTACATACACAAATGACACATGCACCAAAATAAGATCTCTATAGATCCAGCAGACTGTAACGTTAACATTGCCAGGTTACGTGCGGTATTTTGTTTAATGCATCTATGAGTTACGTATATTTATAAGCCAAACTTCATAATGCATGGGGAGGGGAACCATTACACTGCTAATTCTCCCCCTCGTCACAGGGCAATGGAAGGGTTCTTCTCTTGCCCTAGCCATCTCTACCCCAGGGGCTAGGTCAGGGTGTGAAACTTGTCACCAGTTGTGACAGTGACTTAACGTTTCTTATAGGTACTGTCCCATCACAACCTGGGTCCCTGCCAGCTCTTTCAATAGCTTCCTACTGGCTTTTGTCGCAGCTCAGCCAGTTCTTACCGGAGCTGTGCACCCACTTACTTGCACCTTTGCTTGTCTCAGCCTTGAGTGAAGTCACCAGGTTGATCTAAGTTTGTTTTAAATGCTGGGCTGGCCTACAAGATGAAGTCTTTTCTGTAAATTAACTTTGGGAGTCTTAGATCTGAAAAACTAGCAATAGCTGGGAGGTTCCTTCTCGAGCACCAGAGTTCTCCTTCCCTATGAATGGTGCAGTTCCACAGAAGCTTAATAAAGGCTTCCCAGGCAAGGTGCCCCACTTCTTGACTCTCATTGTCTTTAGCTCCAAGAGGGAGCTAAGGCGTAGAGTAGGCCTAAGAGCTACTGCCATGAGGGAGCTGAATGGGTAGACAGAAGCTGTCGGAGCCCTATTTGCAGGGTGCATTTGTATGTCTGTGCCTCATGCAGCTACCTTAGTTCCTCCCAATTGAGGCTCAGGCTCCAGGACTGTGTCTACACTGGCATGAATTTCCGGAAATGCTTAAAATGGAATACTATTCCGTTTTCAGTTTTTCCGGAAAAGGAGCATCTACATTGGCAGGCTGCTTTTCCGGAAAAGCCCTTTTTCCGAAAAAGCATCTGTGGCCAATGTAGACGCGCTTTTCTGGAAAAGAGCCCCGATCGCCATTTTCGCGATCAGGGCTTTTTTCTGGAAAAAACTACTGGGCTGTCTACACTGGCCCTTTTCTGGAACAGTGTTCCGGAATAAGGACTTATGCCCGAGCGGGAGCAGAATAGTTTTTCCGGAATAGCGGCTGATTTTGTACAGTAAAGCATCGTTGCTTTTCCGGAAATTCAAGGGCCAGTGTAGACAGCTCGCAGCTTATTCCGGAAAAGCAGCTGATTTTCCGGAATAAGTGGCCCAGTGTAGACACAGCCCCCGTGTGCACATATCCTGCTCTCCAGCAGGATCAGCCTGGTCATTGCCAAGAGCCGAGGGGAAACCCATGAGTCCATGTAGTGCCCCCTCACTCCCACTCTGTGCTCCGTCTGCAGGTTCCAGGTGGATTTCCAGTGTGGCTGCAGTCTGATGCCCCGGTCGGACATTGCCATCCACTTCAACCCCCGCTTCCGCTCCCGGCCCCACGTCATCTGTAACACCCTGCAGAACGGGCACTGGCTGGAGGAGACCAAGTTCCCCCAGCTGCCCCTCAGGAGGGGAGAGGCCTTCCAGCTGCTCTTCCTCTTTGGGCAGGAGGAGGTGCAGGTGAGGAATGGTGGGTGGAGCCCTAGCTTGTCTCTGGGTGTTGGGGCACCTGGGAGTTCCTGTGGATACCACATGTCCCAAGGGAAGCTGAGTTAAAGGCTAGGTTACGAACCACAGTTAATAGTGCCGCAATTTCCCATCTGAGTTCTTTCAGAACTCTTGGGTGAATGCCATCTGGTCCTGGTGATGCGTTACTGTTAAGTTTATCAGTTTGTTCCAAAACCTCCTCTAATGACACCTCCGTTTGGAACAATTCCTCAGATTTGTCATCTAGAAAGAATGGCTCAGGTTTGGGAATCTCCCCAATGTCCTCCGCCATAAAGACTGAAGCAAAGAATTCATTTAGCTTCTCTGCAATGACTTTATCATCTTTGAGTGCTCCTTTAGCATCTCAATTGTCCAAGGGCCCCCAGGAAGCACTGGGGAGTAATTACTTTGAATGGCCCTGAGGAGGAGCTATTTCGAAATAGCAGCAGTGGAGAAACCACATTACCGCTATTTTGAAATAGCAGTTTCGGAAGAGGCATTATTCCTTCTGGAATGAGGTTTACAGAATCTGGGATAAGCTGCCCATTATTTCCATGTTATTTCAAAATAATGGAATTGCGTGTAGACGCTTGCAAAGTTATTTTGGAATCACGTCTGTGATTCCAAAATAGCGTTGCTGTGTAGATGCACCCTGAGATCTTGCCCGTTCAGGGAGCCGAACTCCTCCCCTCTCCCTCTCTCCAGGTGAGCGTGAATGGGCAGCACGTCCTCCAGTATCGATACCGCCTGCCCCTGGCCCGAGTGGACACTTTGAGTGTGTTTGGTGACATCACAGTGAAGAGCATCGCCTTCCTGCCCAGCAATGTAACCCCCTCCATGGGGCAGACCGATTGGGGGGGCACACACCTGTTGGGGAGAAGGAGCCCCTGGGATAGGGGGAATGAGGATGCCCACAGAAATATGGAGAAAGTTGGGGATGCCCAGAGCCTTGGCATAAGAAAGGGGGTGGGAGTTGCAGGGAGTCCCTGAAAGGGGGGTGGGAGGAGGCCACCCAAGGACCTGGGGCGGACATAGGGATGCAAGGAGCTCTGGTGTGCACCATGACGTCGGCCAATAAGCTGTCTGGTATGAGACCCTCTAGATGCAATCTGGGGGGCTGGCCCAAGGGATTCCAGTGGAGCAACCCCCAGTTTACACCAGCTGGAGATTTGGGCCCTGATTTCTAATGTACGCGCTTTCTCTCTCTCGCTCTTTCCTGCCTGGACAGTCCTTTGATGCCAGCCGAACTGAATACCCTGTTGCCCATGTGAGTCCCGCTAATGAGCTGTAGGGTGTTGGCTTGTAAAACTTCCTTCATCATCTGCATCCTCTGGAGCCTCCCTCCTACGAGGCACCTGTGGTCCCTATGCAGGGGCAGCTGGCTGAGGTTTTCCAAAGCACCTGGAGATATCTGGGGAAATGTGGGAGGCTGGCTGTAGACACTCCCCCATGAGTGGCAGCCCCAGAAATATTAAGTCTTCACCCCCAAATCACCAGCCCCTCTGGGAACTGTTGGCCTTTAGATTAGGGGTCTGTCCCCTGTAAATCCCTGAACACACACCCTCACGGGTAGCCCAGCAGGGGACTGTCCACCCTCTGGCATGTCAGCCTAGTGGGAAAGCCAAATTTGGGTTGCTTCAGCCAGCCCTCCCCTGGTCACAGCACAGCTGGGCTCATCTCTGCTTCCATGACCCCCATGGGGCATTGCAGAAGGGCAGAACAGCCAGAGCATGGGCTGTCCCAGCCACCCCCACAGTTTTTACAGACCTCTACCAGCTCATCTTGTACACATGGCAAACCCAGTTCTAGAGTGGGGGACCTAGTGTCTGCCACTAGCCATACTGTGGTGGCACACAGGAGTCACAGACCAGGACCCTGTCATGCTGGGTGCTGCACAAACACATGGCAAAAGGCCAGTGCTGCCCCAGTGCTTCCAAGCTGTGGTCTCTGCATCTCATAGCTGACTGGTCCGGGGGAGGGAGATTGTCTAAGAACAGAAGAATGACATACCGTCCTGGGTCCTGCAGCAACCCATCCAGGGATCTGATGTCTCTCCCTGAATGCAGCTGCCACCAGAGCCTCCAGTCTGACCCAATGGCTTCAGCTGTAATGCATCGCTGCTGCAATGCAACAACAGCCTGTCTGACTTGGGATTGTCTGGGGTGCCCCAGGCAGGCCGCTCTGAGCTAGAGACCATTCCTGAGGCGTGTGGGAGGGGTGGGTGTGTGAGTGTTGGTCTCTTCACCCCCTGCCGTGTACATGGCTAGTGAAGGAGGGTGCGCACTGGCACATGCAACGGGCACATCCGCATGCAACTGCAGCTCTGTAGTGCTAATTCTTTTTCTCCTCTCTCCCCCCTCAGCCAATGCAGCTAAACAGCTCAAAGCTGGTGAGTAAAGCCTGCGTCTGTGACCTCTAACGAGCAGGCTCCTACACCTGTGAGGCAGCTGGGTTTGATCAGATGGGGTGGGGGTGGGATTGCAGTTTGAGGGTGAGCTGCAGCTACTAGCCAAAGTTATGTGGGGACAGATAAGGAGGTAGGGTTGCCAGATGGTTGAAACAAAAATACCAAACACCCCACTCCCCCCCCCAAAAAAAAACCACTAGGAAAAAATTCTGTTGGGGGGAGAGGGGAGAGACCAAAGCAAAACACACAAAAAACCCCCATCGCATTAAAACAGCATGTCCCCTTTAAGAGAGAGTGAGGTGATAGGAACAGGGGAGTGGTTGAGCACTAAGACCCAGGGGAAGCATTGGCCATTTTGCACGGGCAGCCTTGGGGAACCAGGTATGCAGGAGGTCTGGGGGTGTTGGGGGCCAGGCGGTAGGCCGGGGGCTGAGTGTTTGTAGGGTTGCCAGGTGCCCGGCATTTTCGCCTCCTGGCCGGGGAAAAATTCAGAAAATACTGGACAGCTCAGGTGTCCGGGTAAATACCAGACACCTGGCAACCCTATAAGGAGGCCATACCAACCGGCCCCAGGGGCGGGGAGAGGAGTTCTCCAATGGACGCCAGTACTGCTGAGCTTTCACCAGGGAGTGTTGTATTGTGGGGCCCAGAGATAATTTGGATATCAGGCCTGATTCCATGGTCTGGTTCCAGTGACAAACCCACACATCCCACCCTTCTATGGGTTTGGTCTCTACAAAGCCATCTCCAGACCTCTCTACCCTGGGTTTCTTACATAGGGTCTCACTGTGGCTTGTACCCTTTTCCTGGCTGTGGCTGAAAGGCTAATACTGGCGCTGTGTTTTGCCTTCCACAGGCTGTGCCGTACTCCCACCCGCTCCCGCATGGCCTTGCCGCCAGAGACACCATTACAGTCAGAGCACTGGTGTGCCCAGAGCCTGAGGGGTAAGTATCTGTCCAAACCTCACTCCCCCTTGACCAGCATCTAGCCCCCAGTATGCTGCACTAGGCATGGCTCATCAGGGAGCTTTCTGAACAGCCTGTCAGCCCCCTGGCTTGTGTTGAGAGCACCACCCAGGGATCTCCCTGGGAGCCCACGGGAAACGCATAGGGCCCATCCTGCTGAGTGGCCTCCAGAACAAAGGTCTTCAACTGGCTGCAGCTCTTACAGAAAGGTGGTCCTGCCCCATGTGCCATAAATACATGCTCTCCCCAGCAAGGGGCAGCTGTGACACACCTGTGCAGGCAATCTCTTTCCTTCCCCCTCCCCCCCCCATGTTTGAGCTAAATCTACTCTGCAGGTTCACCCTCAGCCTGAGGGAAGACCCATCCCACATCCTCTTACGACTCAGCACCTGCTTCAGATCCAGAGCCCTGGTGTGGAGCTCCTACCCGGATGAGGCCGCAGGCCATTCAGGGAAAGTGACGACCTACTTCCCCTTCCATCCCCAGCGCTTCTTTGAGGTAACGTTCTATTGGCCCAGAAGGAGCAGGGTCTCTGTCTCATGAGGACAGCAAATGGGGCTCCGTTCAGCTAATCACATCCCTATATGTGCCTAGCAATAGGCAGCACAGGGCGTAGTACTGCCTGCTGCCACTGGGGGTGCTGTGGCTATAGCTTGACAGGGCTATAATAGTGCCTGGGGGTCCTGCCAGGGCTGGCCTTACCATGAGGCGAACTGAGGCAGCTGCCTCCGGTGCCAGAGTTGGGGGGAGGTGCCACTAGGACCCAGAGTGTAGAAAATTGTGTCTGCTGCTGGTATGTATGTATGTATTCTCTCTGCTCTAGATGCACAGAGATGGTGGAGTGCCATGAGAGGAGTAGAACAGGAAGAAGGCAGAATTGAGACCTTTCAAAATTTTGGCCCAAGCGAGGGGGAATCATTTGAGCTTCCCGCCTCGGGTGCCAAAATGTTGTAGGCCGGCCCTGGGGCCAGCCACTGGAGATAGCAGCACCCCTGTTTTGCCTCTGTCTTGCGAGGAGGCACAGAGCAGGGGGCTGTTACTGCTCAGAGTACAGGGCTTCTGCACATCACCTGCTCTAGGGTAGCTGCCACCAGCCCTTGTAGGCTCGCCAGTAGGATTGAAAGCCCCTCCCCAGGCTCTCTGCCCCTGTCAAGCAGGATGGGTTGAACCTGGAGCCCAAAGCTTCAGGTGGAAACCCCCCTCAGTTCTCCACAACCACTAGGCTGCATCAGTCCTTCACCCTTCCTCCAAAGTGGAATCCCTTCATCAGAATTCCCCCTTCTACCGTGTTCTAGTTCCTTGATGCTTGTCTGCAGAGCTATGTGGAAAGGGGGGGTGCGTGCCCACCCAGAGGCCACTGCATCTCAGCAAGCCAGCTGTGGCGGGGAGGGTTGTAATTGCTACAGAAATACAGGCTCACGTCCTCAGCTGGCATGCTCTTGTTCCCATTGACTCTGAGGGAGCGGTGCTCATTCACACCAGCTCGGGATCTGGCCCACAGCTCCCATCTCGTTCTCTGCCAAATCTCTCCCCTCCTCTTCTAGCTGCTGCTTGTCTGTGCGGAGGGGAGCTTCAAACTGGCACTCAACGGGATCCCTCTAGGCCAGTATGACGTGCCTTGGCTCGCCTGGGACCTGGTCACAGAGCTGCGAATAGAGGGGGACATCACACTCTACAGTGTCCTCTCCTGACCCCTTCACTGCCAAGAAGCTTGTGGCCTCTGCCCGGACGCCGTGGACTGGACTGGGCCCAGGATGTTTGAAGGAACTACAGTGCTGCATGTGGGGGTGGGCCTGCCCCAGAGAGAGAGACCTGTTCCTGCTGGCTGATTCGCTGCTCCCCTGAATCCCCATGACCTGGGCTGCCTAGAAGAGATCGCAGGAAATGCCAGGAGCAGGCCTTTCTTGGCAGAAGCAGGTGTTCGTGGGGTAGGGCTAGAGGCATCCTCCAGTGCCCTCCTGGATGCCACAAAGTGCTGACAGGCCTCTTCTTTGCATGGAGTGACAGGTCCCAGCACTGGGCGCACACTGAGTGGTCCCAGTGGGATGATCTGGTTCTTGCCAGCTGCTATGGGGCTTGCTCTGAAGGGCTTGGTTACGTCCCTAGGCACCTGATCGCCCGTGGCATGTACGTTTGCTCGCCAAGTTCAGTTTGGATATTTTAATGTAATAAAATCCCTTTTTCTGCAGTGGTCTGACTCTGCTGAGCCACTGGCAGCGGGGGGAGGGAGGGGGGAGGAGCTGTTCCATGTACGAGAGGTGAAAACACTCTGGTGCCTTAAACCTCTTGACCTCTGTCTCCTGCTTCCTGTGCCTGTGGATTTAAGGTATCTTTGTGCTTTTCCCACCCACACTATGGGGCCTGCTGGCTCTCTGTGGCCCTATGGGGCTTGAGGCAAGCAGAGCCCAGCCATAATGAAAGGCACATTGGCCACATCCCTGCTCCACCCCCTTTCGGGTGCAACTTGCCCCCTCTCGGTGTGATGGTCTGTCGTCTGCTAGTGAGGCCTGGACCACGGACAAGTTGACAAACCTGATCCAGCCTCAGCTGACTCAGTTGGGTTTTATTGCTCAGGCAGCAGAGGCACCTGCTTGGAGATCTCGGGTTCAGTCCTTGCTGCTGCTTCTGACGTAACTAAGGCCTTGTCTACATTGGTGAGTTTTGTTGGTGACAAAACCCGGAGAGCGTTCACATTGCAACGCCTGCTGTCTGGCTCCTTGTGGCGTCTTCTCAGGGAAACAGGTGGCGACTGCTCAAAACACTCTCCTGCTTGGGGCCCGGCAGAGCTTCTCCGAGTGTGGGGTGCAGAACCAGTGCAATCATAGCTGCGAGGGAGCTGTAGGACGTGGGACGTGTATGGACACATTTCTCAAGCCCTGGGTGAGCGAGACACCCTGCAGCGCAGAGCCAAGATAAATGGACTCTGGCAGGTATACCAGAAGGCAAAGGCTGGTCTGGTGCTTCACCCACCACGTGCCTTTTTTTTTTTCCTTAAAGAACTGGACACAATCCTGGGTGGAGACCCCACATCCTCACACGAGGAGAATGTGGATATTTCCCACAGCACTGAGTCGGAAACCGAAGTGAGCCCGGAGACAGAAGTTCTTCATGAAGAGAGGGAAGCAGACGAGGGGGTGAGGCTCAGTCTGGTGACAACCAGTGCGCCAGGCAGCGAGGATTTGTTCTCGGTTTGTGAGGACTCTCAGCAACTGTACGTGGAGCAGGAAGCAAGGCAAGAGACTCAAGGTAAGTTGCTGGGCAGGCACGGGGCGGGGCAGTGCGGCACTGGCCATGTGGGGCAGTAAGTCCAGCAGGTGTGAGGGGGCAGGGCGAGTGGTAGTCGTGCGGAGTGCTAAGTTGCTCTGGTGCAGCTGGGGGCACAGCAGGGGAGAGCAGTAAGTTGCTGTCTCTTGCAGTGGGGTGGGGGTGCGGGAAGTTGCTCTTGCAGCCTGGGGGGGAGGGGAGGGAGGCAGTGCAGGGTAATTGGAGCCTGTATTTCTGTGAGCTGGCTATGCCCTGCCGGGGTCTCTGTTCTCTCCAAACACAGAGGCTACATCTACAGTGCAGGCTTTTTGTGCAAGAACAGTTTTGCAGAAGAGTTCTTGTGCAAAAAATCTTCCACAAGAGAGCGTCCACACTGCCATGTGCTTTTGCGCAAGAGATGTGCGTTTGCACAAGAGCATCCATGGCAGCATGGATGCTCTCTTGCGCAAGAAAGCTCCGATGGCCATTTTAACCATAGGGGCTTCTTGTGCAAGAAATTCATGTTGCCTGTCTACACTGCCCTCTTGTGAAAGAGCTCTTGTGCAAGAAGGCTTATTCCTCATGGGGAGAGGAATAACTCTTCTGGAAGAAGCCCTGTTTTCTAATGCTATACTGTAAATGTACTTGCGCAAGACTGCGTGTGCAGTGTAGACAGCCAGCAAGTTTTTGCGCAAGAACAACTGTTCTTGCGCAAGAAGTGTGTAATGTAGACCCAGCCTGAGATTTCAATAGAATCTTACTGGGAGAGGGTGTCGAAGCTTTGTCTGTGGCACTTACTAATTTTTCTCATGGAGGTCCCATGGCAGGACCCACCACCGTGGTTCAACATATTCCCAAACCATTCCTCGTACTCTGCTCCCTTGGTTCTGGCAGCACAGAGTCTGGATGCAGAAACTGATCCTGCTTTTGCCTC